TCGTGTAATGTATTTGCGCAACACATTTCGAACAATCTGATCACACAGATCAGAATAGCATATCACTTACATATGTAGAAGAGGAAGATAATTGTTTATCTTTCCTAGACATATTGCTTAGTCGACGGCTTGATGGGTCAATAAAAAGATCTATCTATAGAAAACCTACCTGGACAGGACAGTATCTTAATTACCACAGTTTCTGCCCTATTCGGTACAAAAGAGGCTTAGTAAGGTGCCTTTTCAGTAGAATCCGACGAATATGCACTGAAGACACGCTTAATGAAGAAAAAAGAATATTGACACAAACTCTGGTTGATAACAATTATCCAGACAAGTTGATTAGAAGATATAAAGTAGTAAGAACACGAAGACCTACTCTACAACTCGCTCCTAAGAAAGACGTGTACATCAAGCTACCCTATATGGGACATCAAAGCAGCTTGATAACTAGATAAAGGCTGAACGCTGCTGTTAAAAAGACTTTTTATGCAGCTAATATCATAATATTAGAGAATGTAAAGCCATTATATCTATCTAAGTCCTTCGAACATGCGAAAAGTGACGTCACATCCCACTGTATTTACCAATTTGAATGTACGTGTGGACACACATACATAGGGAGGACTCATCGATCTCTGCAAGTAAGGGCTTCAGAGCATATTCCAAAATGGCTCCAGAAACAAATGGAATCATCAGAACCTATTAACGGTGAGAACAGGAGACCTAGCTCTTCTATTGCGAAACATATTATAGAGACAGGTCATAAAATTGATGTTAACAGATCTTTTAAACCTATCTATAAAAAGTGTTTGGGACGTATCCTAAAGTTTGTAGAAGCCCTAGCAATTAGAAAGTTCAAGCCACCTTTATGCGTTCAAAAACAATTTATCATCACATTAAACCTTATTTGGTAAATTTTGTTTTGATACCATAGCAGATGTACTATTACCTCTGCTATTTGGTTTAGTGGTCTTCATTTTTATTTCTGACCTTGAATATGTCCTTTTAACTTGACCTAAGTCTATTTTTCTCACCTCTTACCTCTTTATTAATTATATATATATATATATATATATATATATATATATATATATATACAATATATATATATATATTCCTATGACAAGTCCGTGTGTGATCAGATTGTTCGAAATGTGTTGCGCAAATACATTACACGATTCAGACAAATTACGTCTTCTTATTGCTTTATCTAAATTCATAAAGGGAACTAATTGTTTTAAATAATAATAATAATTTGCTTTATTCCAAAACAGTATTTGGAAATACAGAATGGAATTCTCAGCATTTTACTACAGTATTGCATCTAGTTAGTACACTATCAATAAACAAAATTCTACATAGATTAAGGGTAATTTCGGTTAATTATGACAATGACATATTGGCATGTCTGTAGCAAAGCCAAAATTGAACAGAAGTGTTTGAAGGTGTTAGAAAAATAGATGCTAGCATATTTACTAACGTAAGCAGAAGAAAGAAACAAAGCAGCATATGACAGAGAAAAAAATGAGAGAGAAAAGGAAAAGAGAGAAAGAAAACGTTGTACCTATAAATGATATGAATTGGAAAGACGAGATCCAGTTGTTCTACTGACTTTTTAATAAGTGATAAGTTTCACGCCTAATGCTTTCTTTATCGCACAGAACAAGAGCTAAGTAGGGTATGGTTGAGCTTTTGTACTCACTGATGCGAGCATATAGTTTTCTATATAGGCTTCTCGTTTTGTCTGATGAGATACAAGGGGAGAGTGGTGAATGAAGAGTGTGGATTGAGTTAGATAAAATGGATTTAGCCCATTTTTTACATGAGTCCATGTGCTTGTCAACCAGAACATTAACAAGCTGGTTAAGTGGCACATTGCTTACTCTGCTGATAACCTTTAACATCCTGCGTAATAAGGTATAGTGTTTCTTCAGTAGCCCAAGAAAAACTAAGGGGGAACAATAGAGAATAATAGGTAGAATGCGAGAGTTAACGAATTGTAGGAGTAAGGGTTGGATTATACCAGAATGTCTCAACTTCTTGATATAGAAGGTAAGACGGAATATTTTCTTAGAAATCATCAAACGAGTCGGTTTTGGTCGTTACTATTTAAATCCTTTGATTTACTGTCTCTAAGGCATGTAACCCAGTGGTTGATCAAGCTTTTAGAGTATGTATTGATTTTTTCCAACATTTCTGCACAACAAGACAATGGCGTGTGTGTGTGTGTTGTAAATTTTCCACGGGAACCCTACTATCACTTATCAGTTCCATGTCAACAAAGTGATGTGATAAACATTTATCAACGACTCGAATACCTTCAGATAACTGCATCAGTGAGTTCAATCATGATATCACAGGATTCAAGTGAGATAAGTATAAAACATGGGCACTGTGGTAGAGTATAACTCTATTATAGATAAGATTTTATATTGATAAATCACACATTGTTTTACAGTAATATTAATTGATGACCGCGTTTCGAGCACAAACTATTGCTCATAATCATACCAAGTTACTCATACAACTTTGTTCTTTCATTTATATACATGTGTGAAATCGATTAGATATAGGATTAAAAATCAATGTGAGATAATATACATTTAGAAATAATAATACGAGTGTTATTGATCCATTACAATTATATGGGAAATACGAGTGTTTCATGCGAGTGTTTTTATAGTCATAATAATAATAAGAATGTTTTGATGTGTTTGAATTGAAATAGAATTTTAACATTATTTATTATTCTCTTCTGATTTGACCTGCGGTAATAATATCTTCCATATTTCTTGTATTTGCATTGAGTCATTTCTGTTGTATGTGTTGGGTGTAGACTCGATGAATAAGGATTCCGTAATCAACCTCTCTCCATCTCCACCTACCTAGATTACTTTTTAGAATTTTAACCCTATAGCACCCTGTTGTGTGGTTGTTTGTTAGTGAGTGAAGTGCAACAGCTGAGCTTTTTTCTAAATTACTTATCTTTTCAGGGTCAACCATTTTTACCTCAGCTAAATTCTTATGCTCTGATAATCTGACTACCCCTGACCTACTAGTTTGACCTATGTAGTTGACCTCACAGTCATTGCAGTATTTTGTAAATTATTTTATTTTGTTTAATTGGATCCACCGGGTCTTTTAGCCAACATAGCTTGCCCCTGAGTGAGTTTGTTGGTTTGAATGCCACCCTAATTCCTGCTTTATTAAGAATCCTACGTGGGGTCTCAGATGTTCTCTCCTTATATGATCTAGCAGTAGATGACTTATATTCTCTCTTATTTATGTTATCACTACTAGTTTCACAATTATTTTTATTTTGTTTTTGGCCTTTAATGATCTTCCTAATGAATTTTATAGGATAGTTATTCAACACCAACGCTTCTTCTATCTGCTTTATTTCGTTATTTAAGTCTTTTTTGTGCTACTTAGTGCTATGGCTCGGTATGTTAGATACTTTACTAAGGCTGCCTTAACAGTTAACGGATGAGATGAATTAAATTCCAAATATCTATTAGAATGCGTTGGTTTTCTATAAACACTAGTGTGTAGTTTGCCTTCTTCTATTCGTGTTATCTTACAATCAAACATAGCTAATTCTCCTAGTTCATTTTCGGGTTCAAATGTGAATTTTATTCCCTCTACTTGTGAGTTTATATGTGTCATGAAGCTAGAGATATGTTCTGTTTTATAACACCGTGAAAGTGTCATCCACATATCTCCACCATATTTTTGGAATAGGATTAAACGTATTAAGAGCACTACTTTCCCACCTGTCCATAAATATGTCTGCTACTATAGGGGATACTGGTGATCCCATTGCTACACCTTCTGTTTGTCTATATATTTTACCTAAAATAATTTCTTCGATGGGCAGCTTGGTGCTATGATTCAGTTGAGGATCCGCAGTTAGTTCTTTTCTAACTGCTTCTAAGGCCATAATGACTGGTATATTAGTGTAAAGACTACTTATATCAAAACTAACCATTTTTTCATCATTCTCTATTTGAATGTCGTTTAGTTTATTTTTCATCTCATATGAATTAGTTAGTCTAGAGTTTGAACGATTTCTAATGGGGCTAAATGTTTTGATAATTCATAAGTGGGGGTATTTCTAAAATCTACTATTGGTCTTATGGGGTAGCCTGGCTTATGTATTTTAATAGTACCATATATTCTACTAGTATTATTAGTTTTAGACGTTAAATTAAACCATTTAAACTCACTCAGTGACGGCTTCATTCCTCGTATTAGTTCTACTGTAGATTTCTTAACCTTATTCATTATTGTATCTACAAGCTTCTTGATTTCCTCATATGGACCTATCTCAATATGTTCAGTGACTTTCTTGATATAGCTAGATTTATCCAAGACTACTGTCGAGTTTCCTTTGTCAGCTTTTGTAATGACGATGTTTTTATCTTGTTTTAGACTAATTAAAGCTAGTCTTTCCGATGTTGTTAAGTTTGATTTTGTTTTCTTTTGATTTTTCAGGGTTTATGCACATTGTGCTCGAACCTCTTCTGCTGTTGTCTTATCTATTGAGCTTAGTGCTACTTCTATGTTAGGAATGACATCCTCTGGTTTTAATTTACTCACTGTTACATGGAAATTTAGTTTTTTTCAAGTACTTTTATCTCACTACAGCTTAGTTCCCTTAATGAGAAGTTGATCACCCACTTTGTTCTGTTACTATATAAATGAAGTTAGGAAGTTGTGTGATTACCTTGATATGATTATGAGCAATAGTTTGTGCTCGAAACGACATCAGTTTATATAACTGTACAACACAGTGTGATTTATCAAAATAAAATCTTATCCATAATGGAGGATTCAAGTGGTCGTCTCAAGATGAGGCTACCAGTAGCATACATATGCATCGATTCACATGAGAACTGTTTAGTTCCAACAACAGCCATAACAAAACAAAGATCGCAATAAAAAAATATGTAGATTCACTTAGATTAACTGCTCACTAGGGCTTACTAACAGCTTACCTGCATTGTTTTCCCATCCATTACCATGGCATCTAATAAGGTATGTCCATTTTCATCAGGTGAACATCCATATCCAACACTTTGAATATTTGGATCATCTTCAGCATTTGTACATGCAGCAACAACAGCGTCGATTGATGTCCCAAATACTGTAGAATTAGATGGACTGAGTACACTCCAGCCAGCATCAGTTGCATTTGAAAATGGCCATGTATTAACTATGATCACAGGTGACTGGTGTTCAATACTTTCGATAATTATAAGGCATGTTGATAATGAAATGAGTAGAAATAAGCGTCGTGTAGTGTTAAACATCATTCATTAGAATAATGAATGCAGACTGATTTGAACTGAATCACTGTATAAATATTTATGCATGTCATATGTTAACATACAGCATAAATTCGGTTATAAACGAATCAGTTATGAAGAGTATTTAATAGACATAATTAATCACAGATTTAATGTCGAACAACCTTGAAGTTTATGTAAACAAAAAATAAACACATGATTGGTTGATACTATAATCATAATTGTTAGTCTAATGATATGTATTGATTACAACTTGTCAGTTTCTTTGTTATAATTATGATACTTGAAGTTTTTGAACTAGTGACATATTTATTAATTGAATATTGAACAGATATGAAAATGGAGAAAATATATATGTGTATTCAGGTGGTCAAAAAGAGATTGAATTGGATGTTTAAGAATCCTCAGACGATTTTCAAAGGAAAAAATTGTACTTTAAGGTCATGTGCTTTCTATCCATTCTTGAAAATAAGATGGAAGTTTAAATATAAATCACGAGTATAATAGTATTATTATTATTACTACATATTAGTATTGTTCCCTTGGATTCCAAGTGGAGTATTGAGCTTCAACAACACATCTCCACTTTCTTCTATTCTCCGCTATCCTCTTCAGCTAGCTGGCTTCACGACTGACCATCATCTCTCATCTCCTCGGTCCCAGACGATCTGCTCCATGTCACCGTCTCACTGACGACCCACTCACCGCTTCTCATTTGGATTCCACTCGAGGGCAGTCCTATCGCGCGATTTCACTCGATGGTTTTCTCAACGCATGCCCGATTCGTCTCCATTTTCTCCTACATATTTTTTGAGCAGTCGCCTCTCCCAGTCAGCCAAAATTTCTTGTTACTAATTCTTTTTGACCTGCCATTTGATCTTCAGTAGGGACCAGCCAGTGAAGTAGGCAGATGTTGATGAAAGTCTGGGACTTGTTGAAAATGCTTTTCCTGACACGCTTGTCAAGTTTCTGACTGACTTCACATTTGTGTTGAAAATCCGAAACTTGAAAACATTTATTTCCCGAAACGAATTTAAAACAAGCAATAAAGCAGGTTGATAAAGTAGGATTTAATGAATTCATCAAATTTCGGTAGAACTCGTCAGCTGAATACTCTACATAGGGGGTTACATATACTACTGAAATTACATTGGGAGATATAAGACTGATAAGTAAACAAACTACATTGAATTAGTCATGCAGAAAGACGATGGGTGTAAATGTTTTCCGGAGAGAGAGAGTATGAGAGATCGAAATTAAGATAAATTGCATTACTCTTCAGTTATATCACTTAGATAAACAATTAGTCATTAGGGAATATAACGAGAATTGCAAAACAGAGCAATATCAATAGTCATAGTTACAACAACAATAATGATAGTGTTGAAGTCAGTTAAGATAATCCTACTGATAAAGGGTAGTTTTAAATGAATCAAGAATAATAATAACAGTATTGATAATAATAATAATAATAATAATAAGAGGTAGAATAATAAGTAAAACGTATTACCATGGTAGATTCAGAGTCACTACCATCTCCTTTTGTATACAGAGAGCTGGTTTATAAATTCGAATTGCACACGCCTCTGCAATTGCAAGCATCTTCTTGTTTCTTTGTTTGCTGACAATGGTGAATGACTTGACCGCGTCGATATCATGTCCGTAGTCCACAAGATGTTTTGTTATTGAGGATTTTGGCACTTTGCACTTAGCTGATGAATTCATTAAATCCTGCTTTATTAATCTTTATTGCTTGTTTTAAGTTCGAATCTTGTTGTTTATACTGGTTGAGTGAGTGCAGAAGTTTTTCCATATTGATTTCAGATTGATGAAGGAGTATCTCACTTGTCCTATTCTGGCCTGCGTTGACATCTTCAACCGTCGTTCCGACTGCCTGTTGTTGATACTACGCTTCCTGAACAGATAAGTGAACGAGGTAACCTCTGTTAGATCTTTCCCATTGATGGTGATTGGTGCTGGTTGTTTTTGTTGTTGTGGTTCGTTGGTTATCTTCCTCACCTCTGTTTTTTTCTTTGTTCACCTGGAGTCCTGACTTAACTATCTGCCACTTCTTCCTGTTTGTTGGTTTTCGCCTACCTGCAAGTCTTTGAGTTTGGGTGACATCAGACATATATCATCCATATGCGAAATCCAGATCTTGTAGAGTCATCTTATCGGTGGTCCAGCGTACTTCTGCCTTCTCACTCCCTTTGCACAGTCTGATGCATCATCTAGTCCACCTCGATTAAGAACATCATCGGTGTTAGATATGATAGAGAAGATTTGTAGCTCAGGTGGATGATTTTGATGTGGTTGTGTTCTCTGAGCTAGATATCTGATTTGCGAAACTTTCATCACTCTACTAGGTGACATCTTCAGCGCATACTTCAAATTGAAGTATGCGCTGAAGTATGCAAGCCATAGTGTTAAAGTAGTTTCCAAACTACGTTCCGATCAACGCTGTCTGTCAAAGGTCTTTTCGAAGTCGATGAAGTTGAGGTATAGTGAGGTTTAACTAACATTCTATGTTTTGTCCGATCATGATGATGATGCGTAGAGTAGCAACTTGATCAGCACATGATTTGCCTGTCCTGAGTCCAACTGGTTCTGGTAGGTAAGGAGGAGTTCTGTATCCAGTGCATCCTTTATTCTCGTCTGGATGATTCAACTTAGTATTTTACTTGGCGTAGACAAGAGCATAATTCCACGCCAGTTCTTGCACAGGCCTAAATCGCCCTTCTTTGATAGCTTGACGAGGTAGTAAGAATATTCATCACCTAAAATAGCACAAAAAATCAATAAAGATTAGATGAAGGTTTCCAAACAAATTTTAAATTTAGGTTTTATAGGACATGAAGTCATTAGTGCTTTTTATTGAAGAGTTTCAAACCAGGGACAGATGGCAATCTATCATTCCATAGATAACAGCTGTTCTTGCGTTTATAATCATTCTTGTTAGATTATATATCTCAAAATCAAGTTCACTTTTAATAGTTTGAAAATATTTGGGCATTGAGTGTATGTTATTTCATTATTTTAAGAGTTTTTGTATTTCCCAATATATGAAAAACAAAACAATATTGTTGTTGATTTTACTGACGTTTCTCTATTAAGTGTTGCTAATAGATTTATCAAAGTAGCTAGATTAATCCAGAATTTACAAAGTCTCAGCTTCAATGCAGTAACTTGATCATCATTCTTCAGCATGAGGTCATTTTTACATTGTCAAGTTGGTCAATTGGCAAAGATTACAAACCATATGTAGATTGTTAGATTTGATGAGCGAATGGAAATGACTCATCACATTTGTGTTGATTTTGTCACTTCATGAGGAGGGTGGGGTTTTGTAACCAGGTCAAATTTTGTCTCCCTCATTCATTCCTATTCGGATGATTTGGGTTCTTTTTAATACAAAGTGGTTCTGATATTAGACGATCCATGTGATTTCTGAAATTTTTCTGCATGTTTTCAGTGATATCAGAGTCAATTTTGTGGCTTGATTTTATGGCGTATAGACCTATGACTGATAATTTTTCAAGCTTTTCTAGCTGAGCTAGATTTCTCGGCGGTCAAATAAATGCTCTACAGTGTTAATTTATTTTGATATTGATTCCTTGTGAGGTTTGTCCGATGTATATCTCATCGCATTCCAAGGATTTTATTTCGTGGACGCAGTTAGATTCTGAATGCTATTTATTTGGAACTTGGTCTTTTACAAGGGTGAGGTTGCTTTGTGTTGTATCTGATGCTTTAAAGAAACCTCTTATGGCATTCAAATTGTCTGAATAGGAATGATTGATTGAGACAGAATTCGACCTGGTTACAACTCCCAACCCTACTCATGAGGTGACAAAATCAACACAAATGTGATAAACAATTTCATCATGTAAACATATGGTATTTTTATAATTCCATACGCTTATTAAATGTAACATTCTACACCTGGTTTTATTATCTTTACCAATTGACCAACTTGACAATGTAAAAATTATCCCATGCTGGAGAACTGTTATTTAGTTGTTACATATAAGCTGAGATTGTATAAATTCTATTTAAATAATCCTGCTTTGATAATACTATTATCAGCATTAAACAGTGAAGTGGGTACCCCGGTGGGTAAGTACTGATGAAGAGTCCCAAAACAGGACGAAACAGCTGTCCAGTACTCCCAGGCTTTCCAATGTTTCTCTAACCGGTGTCAGCTCATGATGAAAACCTGTAGCCAGTGTCATTTTGCTTTTCATTCATTGGAAAATATCAAAATTTTATACTGATTCTTGCTTGATAGAGCTTATTTCTGAATACTATTTAGTTTCGTCTTTTGAGTCGTAGTTTTCAAACCCATTATTTCTAACTTGGCTGCCTTATTTACTGTGCACCTGCTTAACTATAGCTTTTGGCCATAGACCTCTGAGTTTGTTAGTAGTTTTGATTAAGAGGACCAGATCGTGAGGCTGTAGGCTTCTCTTTATATTTAACTACTCCGATCTTGCTTGCAGCATCAGTAGGTGGCACAGCGGTTAGGACTCTCGCTGACTATGAACATGGTCTGGGGTTCAACCCCTGCCGACGCGCACCTGATATCTTTGGTCGGCCTGCAAACTTTGGGCTACCGATATCACATGCTGAAAATTCCATACCTGTACCAAAAATACAGTGTGGAGTCAAGCTGTAATTAAAATAAAAAAATAAAAATTCGTGTAGCCATTCAGAACTCAATGCTTTTAACTCTTTGGGGAAAGCAACACCATGCATCAGCTTAAGTATTTACATCTTAACCTTATTGGTATCCTCTAGTGATAGTTTGTTGACAATCAGCTGTTTCCCATCTTGGATTACTAGCTTCACGCCGAATCTTTTGACTTCTCCAGAGCAACCGGCTGGCTTCAGCATGAAACTCTGCACAGAAATGCAGCACTTCAAATTGTTACACTCCACTTAGCACACGAAAGAAGACAGAAAAGACATTTGAAAGTATGGTGATACGCAGAAATGTGAGAGTGAAAGGATAGTAGCATGGAAAAACATTACAATTTAGTGGATATAGGGGACCACAGAAAGTGAATTCATCTATCCTGAGAATCTCAACTAGGCAGTCTACACCTCCGTAGGTGGCTGATCAAGACTAACTATCGTAGATTTCATGGACTCATTCCATTTTTCAGTGTGTACATCACTAGCTCTTTTCCAACTTCATACTGTGTCGGCTAATATTGGTTGTCGAAGAAGGCAATGACTAAGACATGTGTTACGCATGCCTGGCCATTTTAATCGATATGGTTTCAAAACCTCA